ACTGGAGGAATCGTCCTGCCGTTAGCTGAGATAGGCAGCATGTAGGACAAACATGGATTGTTTGTTTATGTGTGCAGTGTGGGAAGATTTGTTTAGTTTTATAAACAAAGTTTGTGGGACCTTTAGGGTGTACAGAAAAGATGCCTTTTAGCCAGTTGGTTCTCTAAGTTTAATTTTATAAGTGATTAGGGACTGTTGAAATGGATGACAAAAGGCATCAAGAATCGATGTGGATGTGAATATTTGGGGGCAACAGAAGACAAATTTACTATTGATTCAGGGGTGGGCATTTCTTGGGCAGGGTGTGTGGCAGGAGGGCACCGGATCCCTTTCGTGCTGTACGTTGGAGATTCACTCTGAAACAGTCAGTGGAGTTGAGATGGGACTGAGAGGGACTGAGAGAGACTGAGAGGGTTAAGGCTCAGTCAAGAGGAACTGACAGTCTGTGGAATCCAGTGTACAAGGGGAACTACAGGATATTTCAGACAGAATCTATAATTTTATTTGATATCTTATTTCCTGTCATTTACCTGTGATTTCACACTTCAGATTTACATTTTTTGTGTCTTTAATCATTTAATCACTAGATAATACAGGGTGGGCAAAAGTAGTTTACAACTCTGAGTATGCAAAAGTTTATTCTTCTTTAATATTCGTTCATTATTGTTATTCTCCATACGAACACCTGTGAGCCTGCTGTTGCTGCACCGTGTATTTACTGAGCATTTAGTGTGTGCCAGACTCTGCTTGACCAGGGGGTGTGTAGTTTATCTCTTTTAAATCTAATGACAAACATATTAGTTAGATCATATCCAGCGACTTGGAGAGAAATTCTAGTCTTCAGTCCCTTCAGCCCAGTAAGAAGTTAGGACAGAAGCATCATTTGACTCCTGCTTCGCCTTAGTCCCTCCTGGAAAAACAGGAACTGCAGAAAGTAGCAGTAACGTGGCTTTATTTTCTCTTCTCTCTTTTGGGTATGATGCTTCGTTAGTCATGCTTGAGATTTATGATTGGAAAAGTCATCCAAGCAAATGAGTAGAAGAATCTGATTGTAGTTCGTAAGACTCAGTTAAAGAGACAAGGGATGTTACTGTTTTTTTCCATGCTATAAATTACTCAGATAAGCTTGGCTATTTAAAAATCTTATTTGTATGAATAAATATACTATTCATGCCTATTTTCAGAGATTATAACCTGTTGATATTCAGTGTACTGAAATGTTTAATTTTCTCTAGAAAGCTTTTTTCTATTTCTCTTTTTCATCTTATAAGGATATATACAATAGTGATACTTGCTCACTAGTACTTACTTTATTAGGCAGAGAGTGCTTTCTGTTATGGAAATGCTGGTTTGCAATGCAAACAGTGTTTGTAGTCTTCAACATTTTCATCATTGAGAACAAATAGGAGAGGAAATAAATTGGTTATTGGTTATAAAATGCTATAAAAAGCATATTATTGGCTATTGTTAACAAGTATCCTGAGCCACTTTAAATGATTATTGCAGTAACCATATTCTTTCTGTCTATTCTGTGTTGTCTTTCTTATGTATTTGTGAACTTGTGGATGTTGCAAAGGAGCTGATCCTGCGTCATTGTGAATATTCAAAGGACGACAGGAGATTGTCACATCCAGCAGCAGTTTGTAGCTCTAAGTGTTTCTCCTGATAAGGTGTCTTCTACAGGTGATCCTGTTATTCAGGAGACAGCCACAAAGGTGACAAGAGACAGGACTTCTGCCATTCAGGAGCTCATAAGCAAGTGGACAACATCAGAAATTGATGGAAATATTCAGAAGCTGGTATGGGAGCACAGGCTCTGTCCTGTGGTTAGAACATGATTGGACTTGGAACTGAAGAATTGGTTTCACTTGCTAACTGTGTGGCTTTTCCCAGGCCTCTTAATCATGTTGAGCTTACATTTCATTATCTTCCAGGGTTGTTGGGAACAACAGTTGATTTAGGTGACGAAACTGCTTTGTAAAGTGAAATATGAATATCAGATCCTTCAATTCGATAGAGTGACTTCACTACTGTAAGCCCTATTGTATAAAATCTCACACGGCCCTCTCTTGTGGAGTGGATGCATTCCTTTAGGGGACTAGAGGAGGTCCCTCTCTGTGTGGTTTGCCACTGTGCCATCTCCGACATACTGCCCTCATCACGCTTTCCTGCGGGTTCAGAAACAGGGCAGCCGGGAGGCATGGTGGGCGGGCTTGTGCATCCCTATCCGCAGAGCACAGGAACGGCTAAAACCCCTCCTTCCAGCGTGTCCCCATCAGCACCAGAAGAGTCCTGATGTGCCTGTGATTTGCCAAAAGGCACACCCGTGAGGCGCGAAAAGCAGCAACAGAAGGCAGCTTTTTGCTTCCCAATTTAATCGTTGGTAGAAATTATTTTATGAGTCATCGTTAAAACCTTTGCCCATGAAATTCAGCTTACCTTGATGGAACATTGAGGAGGTTAATGAAATATTTAAACTGTGTTCACTTTCTTCATGGAGTGCCATTTTGAATTCCGTAAAAGAAAAGTATAATCTACCTGTGAAAAGCGAGATGGATGTGGTGAGAAGTCGTTTTGAATGTTTATCCTTGCTCATAAGAGAAAGAAACTGCCTGCGGCTGAACACGGGCAGGCTGCCTGCCTGGTTCAGTGCAGAAGTAGCCACAGAGATTCGTGCACTTTGCTGGTAGTTTGCTGTTCTGGGTACCACCACGTGTTTGGACTTACGCATCAGCTCCTACCATGGAGTGCAGGGAGTGTAGTGATGGTTAGCAAGCACACATTTGCACACCTGATTATAGCAGGCACTTGTTAAATGAATGAACTCTAAATTAAAGCTCAATTCTCTGACTTTTTCAAATATATGGTGGTGAGAGTAGATGTCACTTTCATCATTATTTTTTGCCCTGTTCAATTCATGTTCCTTGTCTCCAGCTTATATATATGTGTGTGTGTGTGTGTGTGTGTGTGTGTCTAACTTGTTAGGTAAGATATCTTTTAACTTCCTATATGACAAAGGCATTTAATTTTTTATGTTCTTATACATTCTCATCATCTTTCCTTCAGTCTCAAAGGCAAAAACATAAAAAAATACTCCCACATCACTGAGCACAACCCATCCACTGCGGCCCTAGCCTCAGACTCCTCCCTTCTCGAGGGCCATGCAATATCTGGCATTTTCATATTTTCTCACATCTCCAGAGCTTGCTTCTCTATTGCTTTTTCTCTTCTCAGTCTGTAATTGCTCATGCTTCTTTTAATTTGTCATCCCCTATTTGCCTCCAGTTACTCTCCTGTGTATACTCTCGCGATCCACGTCCTCAGAGGTGGTGGCCTCTTCCCTTACTTTCTGCCATTCACTCTTCAGTCCGTTGCAGTCTGACCTCTGTCCACCACTCTGACTGACCAAAGCTGCTGTGGATACATCACGGGTCATTTTCTAATGGGTGATTCCAACATGTGTGTTTCAGCTCTTTATTTTATTGGACATCTCTATTGCATGTAATTCTCCCTGAAACTGCTACCTTAATTTTCATGACCCTATCTTTTTATTCTTCTTGTTTCTCTTTAATTGTTCTTTCTCTCTTCTTGATGATTGTCTTTTCTCTACTCAACCCTCAAATATTGATCCCCTGTTCTAGTCAGTGCTCAGCCTTTTCCCAAGTGCTCTAATCATTTGTATTATTTCAGATACTACCTACACACTGATAACTCCTAAAACGGATGTTTAGTTTAGAACATTTGCCCACCCTTAGGCTCACATGGCCAATTTCCAGGTGAATATCTTTGCCTAGATTTCTTCGAGTTGCTTCAGTTTATGTGACCAAACCTGAACTTCTCAGAGTTTCTCCTAAGCCAGATGTTTTGTCTATATTTTTGCCACTTCGGTTGGTAGCATCTTCATCCACCCAGTCACCTAAGTTAGGACCACGCGGTGTATTTATTCCTGTTTTTATGTCATTGCCTACATCTACTCAATCAGCTGGCTTCCAGTTTATATTTTGTGTGTATATTTTATGGTTAATCATTTTGCAAACAACCACCACCTTATTTGTGTTTCTGATGGCATCTCTGTCAAAGAATGACCTATAGTTACTAGGTTAAGCCTTAACTGCAGTATTTCTCTGGCAATGTCAGAAGAATCTAGTGGTTATAGAAATAGTTTCAAGGATCTATAGCTAGATTTATTGATAATTATAAATAAGTACACATATGCATATAAGTTATTTTTGTATATAAGCACATGTGTGGGTGTGTAATATTTTTTCCAAAGTGATCTTACATTATTCAAATTTGAATTACACTCGCTCTACCCTCTACCTATAAATTCTAGGGTCCTTAATACATCTTTTAAGATCTTTTATGACCTGGCCTCTATGTACTTCTCGATCTTAATCTCTTGCCAAAAAAAAATATACATATATATAAAGGAATGTCAAATTACTGTGGCTCCTTATATACACAGTGCTTTTCTTTTTCTTCTTAAGCTTGTAATTTTGTGGTTACCCTTTTGTTATATGGAATTCTATTTTTGTCCATCCCCCTAACTTTTAACTTTGAATTTCTCCTTGTGTTTTATAACTTAGTTCCACTATCACCTCTTCCAGAATGCACTAAGCTAACCAGCGTCCTCCTGTTTGCATAATGTCCCGAGCAAATCTCTCTCTCGATACACCTTATTGCTTTGATGGAATCTGTACTGGATGGCAACCTCCTTCAGGTTTTGTGGTTTCTCCTCTGTGTCTTTCAAGCGTGGCACATAGTTGAATGACCGATAGTGATATGGGTGAATCACCTTTGCTTTCTACCGGTAGAGATAAAGCCCTTTTGTGCAGTCATCCTAGGCAATTTCTCTCAGTTTTTACACTACTTTTTAAAAATGTAGAATACATATCTACATGCTTCATTTCGCATTTTAAGTCAGAAAAGTCAGTGTCTAGTTTTTGTATGAAAGTATTTTAGCTACAGAAAGATTACACTTGTATTTCTTTCTATTTCAGGAGACTCACCTTCCCAGTCGCAGGCCCAGGAACCTGGAAATTCTGAAAACACAGTGACTGTGCTGGAAGATTCTGGGTGTGACTTATCAAATGAGCAGAAAACTGAACCTTCAGAGGTGTCCCAGGACTTTGTGGAGAGCTGGACCCCCACACCCTTCCCACTGCTTCCCATTGCTAACAAGCGTGCAACTCCAGGAAACCCTTTGTCTTCGCACATGCAATTCTTGCAGCATCTGCTTGAGCTGAAGAACTGGGCAGAATCAGGGAGTCTCAAAACAGACTTAAGCCACTTCGAAAATAGCTTTTCCACAGTATCTGATTCGGTTTTTCAGTTGCTAGAAGGCCTGATCACTTTTTACCGTGAACCCAAATTTCCTTTTTCGAGCTTTTGGACAGAAGCTGTTGGTACTTTAGCTAGACTGATCAGTGGTGGTAACTTATCTAATCATATTCTTAAAAAGTGTTCCAAGAAGTTGGAAGAATTTGAGAAAACCCTACTACAAGTTATTTTAAAGGACCAGCATATAAATCGGGTAAGTAGTAAATCTCTTCTATTTATGAAATAGTATGCCTGTAATTTTGGTGAACATTCCCATTGGATAAAGCTTATTGCTGTCTCTTAGCCGTGTGGCTGTTTTCAGTGTGACCTTTTCCAGCCATTACCCGTCGTCATGTCCCCACCTCTGTCTGATCGCCACAGCACTGTTCTCCACAGGGATGCCCCTGCTTCAGGCTTGTGCCTTTTCCTTGGAATTACCTTCTTTGTCACCATCCTTGGATTCTTCTCTTGTTTTTCCCTGCCTACGCTTACTTCCCATTGCTCAAAAGTCTCAATATTTAAGACAAAACAAAACCGGGAACATTGATGGTTTTCCGATCTATAACTTCTAGGGGTATTCAATTCCTCATGATGGATTCCCTGTATTGTATTGATTTTTTTCTGTTTGTGACATTGACTAGCAGATGCCTGGCAGTCAAAGCATATTTTTATCTTCTTTTAGACTTTCTCCTGTAGGTGGTATAATACCCTACGGACCCTCTGCAGATGTGGGTTAATTGAATAAATTGGCTAAGAACACATAATATATGGCTTTATTATATATTTTTAAATTTTTTTTATTTAACATTGCTTAGAAAGGTTGAGTCAGGGATTCTTTTTTCACAAGTGACATTGAGGTGACCTGATGTTGTTTTGTTGTCTGGCTCTTGAGACAGAATGGAGAGTCTTTTTTGTATTACTTTCTGTTTTCCTCACTATCTGATCCTTTGTTTGGGAAACTCCAGATGCCTTTACATTTTAATCCTTTCTAATGACTACTAAAAATATCTCAGAGGAAACGAAAAGGTCTGATTCGTTAACTGTATTTCACTATAGGAAAAATGTTGCTGGACTTGTTTGTTTTACTATATCATTGTCGAGTATTTGTCCTCAGCCACTATCTGATGCTCAGAGATTTTGTACAGAATAGGCTTTATCTGAGTTTTCAAATCTCTGACAGAGTTTGAATAACCTAATACGTGACACATACATCTGTTCTTTTCTTCTCTCTTAAGATATGATTTGATCAATATTATAGAAAACTTCATGATTAACCTTTGGGCATTTGTGAAAGACATTGAATTTTCTGTTTGGCAAACTGATTTTTTGTGAGTGCATATTTTTGCTTTCTCTAAAATTTAAAACTACTTTGACAGTTTTTTTGTGTGTGTGATCCCATTTATATTCCTTATCAGTTACCAGATGCTGCAAATATGTCTTCAGTTTAGTCTCTCTCTCTTACTTAAGGATTGGGCGGCACAGGGGTGTCCTTGGGAATTGTATGGAAGTAGAGGAGTGTGTGGAAGAAGCTTCTGGTGGTACAGATGCATCTGAAGTACGTTTCCATGACGTCTGTCATGCTGCAAGCCTTTGCTGAATATTGATCAGCAGTGGGAAAATAAGTAAACGCATGGCTTTGGTATTTTCTTAGGGAGGTAGGTAATTTTTGCATTTAGAGAAAGACTTATAAAAATAGCCCACTGGACTTACAATTAGGGTCATGATTCAAAAGTAAGTTCTAATGACATTCCCTCGGGATGATTTTTTCTCCCCAGCAAAAGTATCGTAGACTAAGTCATTCAAACCTTTGTCACTGTTGTCTCCATCACCATCATTATGACCAACCACACCATCATCTCCCAGATGTTCATAAAGCTTCTTTATTAGAAAAACAGAATAGCCCTGGCCGGTTTGGCTCAGCGGTTAGAGCATCGGCCTGCAGTCCGGAGAGACCCGGGTTCGGTTCCCGCTAAGGGCACGTACCTCGGTTGCAGTTTGTCCCCGGCCCTGGTTGGTTGTGCGGGTGGCGACCACTCAATGTGTCCCTTTCACATCGATGTTTCTCTCTCTCTCCCTCCCACTCTACCTGAACAAAAAATGGAAAAATGTCCTCGGGTGAGGATGATAAAAAAAAAAAAAAGAAAAACAGAATAATGATTGCTCTTTATAAATGCTTTTCTGTCTTTTTTTAGCTTTCCTTGAGTAATAAGCAAAGTCTCAAGAAAGAATATATTCTGACATGAAATATAGGATAGTTCCTCTTACTGCATTTTAATTGATACGACTCTTGGTTGATTAAAACAAAATAGCACAATTTAGAAAAAATATACGTCTTTGAAAAAACTTGTTTCCATAGATTAGCAGTACTTGATTAAATTATGCTGCCTACAAACTTGAGCCCTGCTATTGATTTCCTTAAAGTGAACTTATGTTTATGCAGTATGATAGGAAAATTTGTGGTGTGAATACTTTAATATTCTGACAGAGGGATTTCACACATTTATAATTCATAAATAGCCATGCTTTAAATAAAATATAATCTTCAACCACATGTTCTCAGTATGAATGGCTTTGGTATTTATTCGTAAAATTATTCTGACCTCACTTAATTTTTCTTTAATGATCATTAAGAACTTGGTGTCTTTCAAAATCCTGAGGTCATTGCTGTGACTATCAGTTATGTCAGGGCTGTATGGATTCAAGAGAAAGGAAGATTGAAATGAAGTACCCTGAAAATTGTTTTAAACAATCCCCTGATATTAGCTTGGTTGAAATCATTAGTAAATTTAGGGGAAAATTGTGTGATCTGTGATTTTTCAAATTTATTTTGTGCTATTTAAGAAACTTTATATTTATTTAATACTTTTTTCTGAAAGAACTGTTATCTTAGACCTACTCCCGTACAGAAGTCCCACCCTTATCTACAGTTTTGCTTTCCATTATTTCAGTTATCTTCAGTTGGCTATGGTCCGAAAATATTAAATGGAAAATTCTAGAAATAATCTATTCATAGTTTTAAATGTTTTGAGTTGTGTGATGAAATCTCACCCCATCCAAGACTTGAATTATCCCTTTGTCCAGTGTATTCACCCTGTATATGCTGTCCATGTATTAGTCACTTAGTAGCCATTTGGGTTATCAGATTGACTGTCCTGGTATTGCAGTGTTTGTGTTCAAGTAGTCCTTATAGTAGCCTAATGGATATGCCTGTGACATTGTCCTCACTTCATCTCATCATGTAGGCATTGTATTATCTCACATCAGTACAGTAAGGGAGAGGGGAGACCACATTCACATAACTTTTATTGCAGTATATTGTTGTAGTTGTTCTATTTTATTATTAGTTATTGTTGTTAACCTTTTACTGTCCTTAATTGTTTTGTTGTTGTTGTTGTTGTTGTTGTTATTGTTAATGCTCACCTGAGGATATTTTTCCACTGATTTTCAGATAGAGTGGAAGGGGAGAAAGAGAGAAACATTGATGTGGGAGAGACACATCAATTGGTTGCCTCTTACATGATCCCAACTAGGGTTGAGGATCAACCTGCAACTCACGTATGTTCCCTTGACTGGGAATCGAACCTGAGACCCTTCAGTCCATAGGCCAATGCTCTAACCACTGAGCAAAACCAGCCATGGCTATTGTGATTAATTTATAAATTAAATTTTATGATATATGTATAGAAAAAACACAGTATATATAGAGTTCAGTGCTATTTATGGTTTCAGGCATTCACTGGGGACTTGGAATGAATTCCCTGTGGGAAACGGGGACAACTGTATTATACTTTTAGGATAACCATTAGGTGGGACTAGAAGGTGTAATGTACCATGACATATTTGGCAGATATAGGCGACATGTGTCTTGAAACCATATGGCTTTCGGAGCTCTCTACACTGGGCTTGCTCCAGGGACCCGGGATGCAGTCTTGACTGAACTTGGTGAGCTGTCCGCCACCTTCCTCTCCTGCCTGTGTACTTGCCTCGTTTCAGGAATGTTTACCTTTGAGGTAGCCAGTGCCCTTTGTCTGACTGCCTGTGGACCTTTCCTGTGGTCCCTCCCCTACCCATGTTGATTTCTATGGCGGAACAGCACGAGCTCACCCCAGCAGTGTCCTGCCCTACTTCTTCACAGGCCGGGACAGTGCCACAGACGTTTAAACCAAGTGCTCCTGATCCTATTGAGATGTTGCAATGGTATCTTTGTCTTAAAATTTCACTTGTTTTGAAAAGATGGGAATAATTCTATTAAGTTTAATATTTAAAAATCTGTAGTTAACATGGAGCTTTACCATATACGGCTAAATCTTAGATGCGTATTAGTTACTTAGACAACATTCTCTTCCAATTTCCTTTTTTAAAAACTATAAAATAACCATTGGACATATTGTGAAATAAAAAAAAAAATTGACTGCCAAGTAGACATTAAATTAGAATCTCTTTTTATGTGGGGTAAACAAGAGTGGTCCCCCCCAAAGATGTCCACATCCCAGTCCCTGTAACCTGTGAATATGTTATGTTACATGACTGGGGGTGGGGTGGGGAATTAAGGTTGCTAATGAGCTGGCTCCGGAAGAGGAGATGATCCTAGATGACCCAAGTGGGCCCAGTACTCACAAGAGACCTTGTAAGTGAAGAGGGAAGCAGGAGAGTCCGTGTAGAAACGAGGGAGATGTTCGGAGACGCTGTGCTGCTGGTTTTAAAGCTGGAGGAGGGGCCATGAGCCAAGAAATGCGGTTGGAAAAGGCAAGGGAATGGGTTCCTCGGAGCCTCCGCAAGGAGCACAGGCCTGCCAGCACTTCCGTTTCGGGCCCTCAAGACCCGCTCCGACTTCTGACCTCTAGAGCTATAATTAAATACATTTGTATTGTTTGAATCCACTAAGTTTGTGGTAGTTTGATATAGCAGCAACAGGAAATGGTACATTGTGTCATTTTATAGTGTTTTCACTTCCATTACCTTATTATATGTTTGTACAATAACTCTGTGAGGTTCGCATGGTTGCCTTGTTATTTCCATTTAGTAGATAAGAAAAATGAGGCTCAGAGAGACCTGCCCAAGGCCACAAAGCTAGTTAGCAGCGCTGTGAACACTAGTACCTAGCAGTAACCTGGGTGTGGCTATGCTTTCCTCTTCCTTCTCCCTCCTCACAATATCAGATTTGTAAAGCTGACCTAGATTAGGGGTCTGTGCAGACACCACTTATATAACCCC